GGGGGGGGGGGGGGGGGGGAGGGGCGCGTGGGATCTGCTGCTTATGTCTGAACAGATTGCTATTGTTATGGATGACTCCACTCACTCTCAAGTTCTCAAGTTTACATTGCGATTCCTTTTCTAGAGAGATAAAGTAGAGGGAGAGAGGAGAGAGGAGAGAGGAGAGAGGAGAGAGGAGAGAGGAGAGAGAGAGGTGTTTGAGCGTCTTTCTGCAACTTTCTAAAATTTCAGCTTTCCAGCTAAGTGTAAAGGTCTGGCTTTCCTTTTTCTCTCTCTAAAATTATGTTTCCTGATCTACTCTTCAAACTTTGATAATTATTCGGTACTTAATGCACTTGCAAATTACTAACTTTTACTTTCTATTTTGGCTTAATTACTCCGCTTTTATGAAGTCAAGAGTCTTCGTCAATTTCCATTCTTGAACGCCATTGTTTGCTTCATACTTTATACTTAAAAATTTGGTAAACTTTAATGGGTTGTTTTCATACTTTACTTAAATCTTTCTCAAGTTGTTTGCTTTAAGTGTGTATTTGTGAGCATTTTGGTGTTCAATTGCCAGTGATTCATGGCTTTTTATGTGGATTATGGACTTAATTAGATACGGAATTGGGAGTGAGTTTTGTTTTCTTTAATCTCTTATAACTTTACTCACTTGCATTGTGCAGATTGGAGGGTGTTCTGTATGTGGGCGATGCAGATAATATTTACAGAAAAATAGTAGATTGAAGAATTTTGGATCAATGGGTGGGAACAGATCCGTAGAAAATTGCCTGAATTTGAAGATTTTGGTGGGATTTATTTTCGTTTTCGCAATTCGATTCTCTTGTGGAGCTACCAATCCTAATGATGGTAAGTCCGAATAAAGAAGCTATTTATGTTGTTTGCTGGAGATAGGATGTGTTTAAAGAATAAGATATGGCAATTTCTAATTTTGTTGCATCATTTTTATATTAACAGAGTAACGAAGGTCTCAACTTCCTGGATTGTTTGACATATCAGTCTTTCTGGATAGTTTAAAGATATTTATTAACCTGTGAAACTTAAGTAAAATTTTTGTGCATTATATAATATTTTCAATTTCTGTAGAATTGCAATTCATGAGAGCAATCTATGTCACTTTTTTAGTTAGGTTGAGGAATCAGTTTCAACTATCTAGTGTAAGAAAGCGTATATTATGCTTGCGATATCCATTTGTTTATTGTTGCTCCTTTCATATAAATGATGCTTACATTTTTCGTCTGGTATTTTATTACACTGGCTTAGTTGCTGCACTACGTAGCTTGTATGTTGCGTTGGAATCACCTGTTCTACCGGGATGGGTTGCTTCTGGTGGAGACCCATGTGGTGAAGCTTGGCAAGGTGTCCAGTGTGATGGTGGTACAACCATAAGTTCAATGTATGAACCTTTCCTTGAATTTATTTTCCTGTGGATGTTCCATTGCAATTTAATGCTAAAAAATTCCTTTCTATAGAACACTCAATGGGGCTAATTTGGGCGGAGAATTGGGTGACAGCTTAGGAACATTTTCTTCTATCAAATCAATGTGAGTACAACTCTTTCAATCCTTATTGCAGTGTACCTGAGTGTATATGTACATGCATTGTCATGTGCTTGCATGAGTTTATCTTCTTCATGCTGATAATGGTAATTTTGCCATCATTTTGTGGCAGAGAACTAAGTAACAACCTTATTGGGGGCAGCATTCCATCAGAGCTTCCTGCTACATTACAGAATTTGTACGTTCTATCATTTTCTTGAAAGTAACTGAAATATAATTGAGAAACCATTGCATGCAGCGAGTACCTTGGCTCTTTCGCTTATTCAGATGCCTACTAAAGTGAGATTATGATGGTCTTTCTTTACCTATGTCAGTTTTCTTTCAGATAACAAGTTTACCGGAAGTATACCTAGTTCTTTATCATCTATTAGTCAACTATCAGCTCTGTAAGTTTTTTTTATCTGCTGTCTTGTACCCTGAGTGCCCAATTTTTAGCGTCATTTTGAACTACAATCAGCGTTTGTTTCAGGTCTCTTAACAACAACGGATTAACTGGCGAAATTCCAGATTCCTTTGAAGGCTTGACCGCTTTGGTTAATTTGTATGATCCCTTTTTAAAAAGAAAAAGGCATACTTATTCGCACAATTAGGTTATCATGTTGTCAACATCTTATGTGGGATTTTGTCTTTGTTCAGGGATTTGTCTAGCAACAATTTGAGCGGGCAGTTACCCCCTTCACTTAGAAATTTGTCATCACTTACAACACTGTAAGTAATCCAACTTATTTAGATTGGTCATGTCCATTTTGTCTATGTAAATGAAGCTGACTTCTTGATTTCCAGTCATTTGCAGAAAAATCAGCTTTCTGGAGCTCTTGATGTTTTACAAGATCTTCCCTTAAGAGATTTGTACTCTTCTTAGCCATAATCTACTCATGTATCATTTATATTTTCTAAATCAACCTCCATTAGTTTGTCTCTTTTTTCTGTCTCTTACCTACAGAAATATAGAGAACAACCTGTTTTCTGGACCAATACCAGCAAAGTTGTTGAGCATACCCACTTTTAGGTAGGTGCCACTGTTTAAAAACTCTAATTAAGTCTGAATCTTTTACTTTTGAATTTTGTCAGAAGCCATGTGGGCTTTATACGACTCATGGACTCTTTAGGCTATTTATGCACATTGTTTATTACATCTTTTTCTTGGTGATCCTTGGATTGCATATCAAACTGAAATGTTCTAGATACCCTTTGATGGTCTCTTGATACTGCTTCATAATTTTCTAGAAGGATCTAGATTATCAATTAGTTCGACTTTACGTGCGGAATTATTCTATTAAAAGTAATAAGTTACTTTTTAATAGTTTCTAGATGATTAAGCATACAAATCAATTTCCCTATGTTTGAATACCGTAGTTTGTAATACGAAAGTAGTAAACAACACAATAATTGTTGACGGAGAATCCCGACTAGGTAAAAACTCAGGGACCAAGCCAGTTACCTCCATTATAAACAATGAACCTTGCAGTCAGATGCTACTTAGCTAACTTTACTAGATTTTTCGATTTACTTCCTGTAATCCCCAAGGTCTGTTGACTCCACCAACTTCTCGATTTTCTACAATTGTCTCTTCCAAGTGGATGTCCAACAATCACCAATTCTTGTTCTTCTTCCTGCGCTTGTAGTCCCACCATTTCTCAATCTTCAGCAGCATCTGAAATTCCAATTGAGAAAGTATCTTCCTTGTTGTACAAAAGAAGTGGGTGTTTTGGATTTTGAAACCTTGATGTTTTTTCCAAATCTGTGGTTGGATGATCTTAAGAAAGAATGGATTGAATCAAGGGTTGAATATATTCTTGGATCTTCACGAAATGATATGAATGTATTATCAATGAGAGGCACAATGAACAATCACCCAAAATCGTGCAAGGCTTGAGTATATATGGTTGGAGGTGTTTAGATAGTATGGACCGTGTAAAACTCTCCAAAAACCCGAATTAGGTTTTTCCACGTACCACTGTCGCTCTAGCGAAGGGGCAGCAATAAGCGAGCGAAGGGTTTGTCGCTCGAGAGAAGTCCGGGCGACAAGCCAGCGACGTGCATTTTGTTTTTGTCGCTCAAGTAATATCTTGGTGAGAGGAGAGCGAAATTGCAACGACTCTTCCTTCCTTATTCCGTGCTCGAACCCTAACCTATCTAACTCATATATACAAAATTGCACCTAACTCTTTGACTTTTACACATGTTTAATTTAGTTCTTTTTGTTCATAGAATCGCTAGTTACATTAAACCTAAACTGTGCTCTTAGTTGGCATGACATATGAATTATATACCTATATATGACAAAGTTTGTTATGATTTCTCACTGACACCTAAGAAACTTTGAAGCTTGAGGCGATTTTAGAAAGCAATGAGGATGTGTGTGGGTTGGGGGGAGCACATCCTACACCATTGAATGCAATTAGCCTTCTTAGTGTAGTATAGGTAAGGTTGTTTGTGATAGACCAAGATACTTTCCATAGTTATTGGCTTTAATTATTAAGACATGGGGTAAGAGGAGTAGTCCAATCCTTAATAAGTTTGTCTATGTTTTAATCTTTATTTGACGTGAGATTTTATCTTTTAACATGCTCTAGCAAGATGGTCGTTTGTTTGAACAGACCAATTTTAAAATCTTTGTGCTCATTTTTTTAGTCTTAATTTGATCGAATTGTTCGTTGGAGTTTAATGTGCTTTGATTAAGTGGCTATTTGACAACCATTAATTTATTTTATGATTTGCCCTACTTTTCCCTACACGTAAATCAAAAACTTTTCCCTACTTGTTATCCATACATTTTCTTAAAAATTATTATGTAAAACTCTTTTTCTACAATAATGGTTGTCAAACAGGCTCTAAGACTTGGGTTCTATCTTAAAGGTTCAACTTTATTAAGAGGAGTGGTCCAGTCCCTAATAAATTGTCTATATTTTCATCTTTATTCGATGTGGGATTTTATCCTTTGACATTAATAGATCCTTGATATTATCTTGCATATATGACACACAGGTTTGTTATAGCATTGATTTGGTGCTTGTATTGTTTCCATACTTGGGCTTGTAGGTACTGTATATATGTACTGCCTTACCAATAAATAAAGGCGTGCTATTCATACTTCACCAAAGCTGTCGTTTATGGTATCAGAACACAGTGTTTTTCTTTACTTTGGCTGCTAAGAAAGCCTTCATGCCTACAGTTAAAAATCAAACATAGATTACTGGGAACACAAGCAGCAAGTTTTTTCTGGTTTATAAGGGGATATATGATGCTTGCCATTTGATTGTTTTCTGTAGATGAATTCGAGGAATCGTTTTATTTGATTATAGAACTTCTTCAAGCTCGTAGTAGTGATCCAGAGATACATGATTTCTGGTTCTTTTTATATTTTTGTTATTGTCCAATTTCTTCTGGGATTATTTGACACAAGATTTAACGGTGTGGAGTAGTTATTTTGTCGCAGTCACTATTTATCAATTTTTATGTTCTGGTTTCAGCTTTGCTCGACTACCAAAAAGTTTTAATTTACTTTCTCTAGAAAGGATAATGGCAATGTAATTAGATTAAACCATACCCATCATGCAACTTCCCACATTCTATAGGCATGCTTTGTGGATGCTACCATCTTTGCTAATACATCTCATGATGGAAGAAAACCTATGTTCATCTAAAATCATTGGTAACATTTTAGAAGGAACAGTAGTGGGTTCCAAGTAATTTGTGGATAATAAATGGGTAGTAGTCATGAATGTGTGGTTGAAATTAATGTTTGACTTTTATTGAAAACGAAAAGAAAATTATCAGTAAATTCTTAGGAAACACGAACAGAGGCAAGTTATACTTTTTCTGCTGCCATATTGGGTAAAAGAAAGGGAGAGGAAAGGAAGTATAGAGGAGAAAGAAATAGCAGAAGAGATAGAAAAAGTGTTTAATTTTTAATTTAATTTGATACTTTTTTTCTCCCCCTCTTTTTGGCATGTATACATACTTTGGTTCAGGTTAGCCTTGTCCTTTTTAGCGCTTTACCTTCTATTTTCCCTGTTTGGGAGGAGATGGGAAGCAGGCAGGCTGGCCTATGGCTATGTTACATCTTTCATTTGAACCCAAGCAACTATGTGATGTATACTGTTTTATCCTTCTTCTATTTTACTGAAAAGTACACAATGTTATATGCATCTGCTCACTAAATTTAGTTGGTAACATACAGGCAAGCTGGGAATCCATTCAACACCAGTATTGCTCCATTACCTCCACCAGCTGCCACTGGAACACCACCACCAGTGCCACCATTTTTCTTGGGACCGAGTTCCGAACAAACGCCACCAACTTCTGGAAGCAGACCTGGAAATCAGGCCGATCATGGAAAACAGGCCGATGGACCTTCTGCTACAAAGGAATCAAATTCTGTAAAGTCAAAAAGGTCTTCAAGGATAAAAAGGATAGTTTGGATATCCATTGGAGCAGTGTTGTTGTTCATAGTATTGGTATTAGCAATCATGCTTTTTGTGCCAAGATGTCTCGAAAAAATGCAAGAAACTTACAGAACAGCAAAGCGCCATGAGATAGCTCCATTTACAAGCACCCGAGAGAATCATAGAGATGGTGGTTCCTCGGTCCAACCTAGCAATGGCAAAGAGAAAGGTGATTCATATTATTTGGCTTTTTCTCGGTTCTTGGTAGATCCTACAATTTATTTAGCATCGTTGTTTTCCATGTGCAATGGATTGTATTAATTCTGTAAACAGCTCCGATGGTGGCAGTTTTGAGGCCAAATGAAGAGAATCAACAAAGAGAAGTGGGTTCGGTTCCCAAACCATGGAGTGAGCATGGGGTGAATAACAAAAAGATGAGTGGAGCACCTAAGCCAAATCATCATGAGATAGACATGAGTAGATTTGAAACAGAATTAATGCTGCCGCCGCCGCCACCTCCTCCTCCACCACCGCCACCACCTCCTTCACGGCCTCCACCACCATTTCAACTACCAGAGAAAGTTACTGTAAAGCCAATTGCAGCAGCTGAAGCAACTGCAACGAAATCTTTGACTAGACATCTTCCTGCAACCTCTGTGAAGGCTTACACAATTGCATCTCTTCAGCAATACACCAATAGCTTTTCAGAAGAAAATCTTATTGGGGGAGGAATGCTTGGTAATGTGTACAGGGCACAGCTTCCTCATGGAAAGGTACAATTTACAATAATTTATTGGGGCATTAATAATATGAATTTTATTTTCCTATAGTACCTTTCTCTTTAGTTTCTGTATTTGTTCTTTTTAAGCCCTTGTTTGACAACCATTATTTGGGTAAAATGGAGTTTTGAATATTGATTTTTTGATGAATGTGTTGTTCAAAAGTAATGAAAAATTTTGGGTTTACGAGCAGAATATTTTATTGTGTGAATGTGTTGTTGTAAATGAATATGTAGAATAAAAAAGAGTTTTGAAATAATGGTTGTCAAATAGGGGCTAAATACCAGTTAATGCTCTTTTAGAAGCTATATAATAGTCCAGCAGTTTTCTTAGCTGCAAAGAAATGCCAAGATTTCTTGTCCATGAATTGATTCCCATGGTTAGGTTTACCCACATGCACATTCCTCTTTCTGTCTGGCGAGGAATCTTTAACTCGGGCACCAGAAAGCTTGTACCCTGTTCTTACATCTGGTCTTTTTTATGCTTCTGTAGTTGCTCGCTGTCAAGAAATTGGACAAAAAAGTTGCCAACCAGCAGAAGGATGATCAGTTTCTCGATATGGTTAACTGTCTTGATAAAATTCGCCATGCTAATGTGGTTGAACTCATGGGCTACTGTGCAGAGCATGATCAAAGGCTTCTCATCTATGAGTATTGCAGTAACGGAACATTGCTGGATGCTCTGAATTCGGACGATGAATTTAAGAAGAGTTTATCTTGGAATACCCGCATCAGAATGGCTCTTGGAGCTGCAAGGGCTTTAGAGTAAGTCAAATGAATACGACAGTTTCTTAGCAGCTTGTGGTTCTGTGTTCTTAACATCAACATGTAAACAAAATTGGGTTGAAGTTCTGGTCAGCATGAACGAATAAAATTTCCCTCCAGTAATTCTGCATTAAACAATGTTAGCTTTCCTTTCCCTGAATGACAGTCATCTTCAGAACATATATTTCTAGATGTTAAAATTATAGTAATATTAGACATGACTAACACTTAAGAGAACAGATGTTAAACTGAATCAATCTCACTCTCATTAGTTCACTATTGAAGTTATAATAGTCAGGTGGATTTAACAAAACATGTAAGCTGTAAAATGCTAGCACAGTACTTCTGTTAATTCTCTTCCCTCCTCAACTCCTACTTGGTGGGTGTTGTCAGGGTAGCTTGAACACTAACATGTTTTATTATATTCTGATATATCCACCGATGGAGTATCAAATTGTGTTTTTATCATGAAGGTATCTGCATGAGGTCTGTGAACCACCTATTATCCATAGGAATTTCAAGTCCGCCAATGTTCTCCTTGATGATGAACTTGCTACTCGTGTCTCCGATTGTGGTTTGGCTCCTCTAATAGCACCAGGAGCTTTAAGTCAGGTAACCTGTAATTTTAGAACCTCAAGGAAATTTGTTCGAATACACTGATATTACCAAAGTTGAAAATGCCTTTGGAAAATTTCCAAATTAGGTTTAAGGTTTTTTTGAGATGCTTAATTGAACTGCATTAGCAAGTGAATTGAAGTTGAGATTTGAAGCCTAAAGTTTAGCAAAATCTATTAGTATGAATAGCTCTTTGAAATGATATAAACATTGTCTCATGCTGTGATTACCAGTCCATCAATTGAATGCCTTAATCCCCAAACACAATCAACTTTGAAGTCGTAACATTGGTGAGTACATCCCACGATGGATAATTGGAAACTATCAATTTGTTGATAAGAGGCACAAATATGTAGTGATTTGCCATGAAACTTGAAATATGTAGTGCAGTTCCAATTATTCAAGTAGCTACAATTTTAAAAAGTAACTTCTAATAGCATAAATGGGTTTGTCAAAAAAAGTTAGTTAAAAGTGACTTTTAAGATTAACCATACATGCTCCTTAGGTCTGGAATGTGGAACTTGGATCCTGGTCAAATAGATCTGTAAATTTTGATTTTGATATAAAGTGATTGGAACTATCACTTAGAAACCCTTAAGGTTTACAAAAATACTTTTAAGAGTTTTGGAAGCTGTAGTTTGATTACCTGGCCAATATCCAACTCAACAATCATTTGACTAGCTAAAACGGGAGAATACTGCCAATCCGGCCATCATTTTCTGATCACTATTTTACAAAGAAGGTAAATGCAGAAATGTTTATACCTTGTATATTTGTAGTGTAATGACACATGCCATAAAATATGAACATCTCACCTTAAATTTAAAATAGTTCTTTGTGGTAAATGCTTTACCTTGTTGCAGTCATGAACAGGCACCTTTGCGAAATGATTTCCCCCACCCTTTCTTTCCCCACTAACCGAAAAATAAAAAGGATCGCTCACATATTAATTTTGATCTATCATCCTGATTAGCCAGATTAATTTAAGTTTGTGGTAAGATTTTTTTGTTGCTTGAGTTTGGGCCAAAAGCTTGTGTATCTTTTTGTAGAAAATGTTTTTATAGACATAAACTACCTGAAAGTACACTTAAATGACTGTTCCTCTTCATTTCTCAGTTGTCAGGACTTCTCACAATATATGGTTATGGTGCTCCTGAATTTGAGTCGGGAATATATACTTCGAAGAGTGATGTTTACAGTTTTGGCGTGGTGATGTTGGAACTCTTAACAGGCAGAATGTCATATGACAGGTATTAGAATTGTTGAACGATCATTCTGAATTCTGGTGATGTGTCCTTGTCTGCCAGCTGCTTCATTTTCTTCTAATTTTGATTAGGACACGGATTCGAGGGGAACAATTTTTGGTCAGATGGGCGGTCCCTCAGCTTCATGACATTGACTCTTTGTCGAGGATGGTTGATCCTGCTCTCGAGGGAAAATATCCTGTTAAATCCGTGTCACACTTTGCTGACATTATATCCCGATGTGTTCAGGTGAGTTGAAGTTACAGACTTGCAGTTAGCTTTCTTCTCTCTCTTTAACGACTGACATTTTGCTTGCAATACGAGAATTTGTTTTGCAGACGGAGCCAGAATTCAGGCCGTTGATGTCTGAAGTCGTGCAGGACCTTATCCAAATGATTCGAAGGGAATCTCCGAATAGATCAGGAGAATAATTTTGGCTCCATCAATATATAAAAACAGATCATTAGAAACTAAGAATCAGCTCTCAAATTCCTGCACCAGCTTCAGATTACACTGAACCAAAAAAGCAAGCTGCGAATTGATGCCTCGACTCTAACATAACTTGAAGTTCTCGTGTGAAGACTGCTCTCAAGAACAGATTTTACAGTAGCCAATTCACAAAGATTCTTGATCGTCTTGTCAATTAATCGTAGTCCTAATGTTCATTACAAAGTTATTTGATAATTATTGATGCTTATTACTGAAACCAGTGTGAAAGTAGATGTAATAACCAGAACCACACTACCTATGTATTGATTTTATTTACACACGCCCATTTCAATTTGCAAGAAGTAGATGGAGATCTGAGATCCAACTTAATTAATTTCGATTATGCGTGCGTATAAACTCTATATATAATATATTTTGCTGGGAATTTTACTGTTATCATTTTTTTTTTCCCATTGTGGTGTGGCAGGAAGTTATTATTATGCTTTTTTTGTGAATATTTTTGGGCCAGTAATGGATTTTGTTAAGCTAGTAGAGATGGATATAATCTGTCCTCGTGATTATCAGGATTGTTCATTCTATTATCTAAATTGTTTGTCCAAATATATTGCTATGTGCTATGATTTTCATAAGAATAATTTTCTGGGGAAGGAGAACATGCTGAATAGTGATGTTTTTGTTTCAATACTTTCTTTTCATGATGCTCTCAATTATATGCTCATCCACAACATCTCTAGGAGTACATTAATTTTATTAATTAATCAAAAAATTAAATAATATCTCGATTAATATTAATGAATTTGACGATCTCAAGGATACTAAATTGTCTGGCTTTTCCTGTAGTTTTTGTCTCACAAGATAAGGATGGTTAGTTTAGTAGCATTGGATATAAATTGTACATTACATTAGGACAATATTATATTTTGAATAAAACCAAAAAATGTGTGACACTGGGATGAAAATCACACAAATGGCTAATGTTACTATTTTAAAGAGTAACACTCTTTAGCACTACTAGTGCTAAATACTGAGAAAAACGAATAACATTTAAATGTCCCATCACTTGCAGTCACCTGGATTGATGTTATAACACTAGTTGTGCTATATAGCATATTTTCCGACAAAATATTGCCGAGATCACTGACCATGGTGACTTCCCCATTGTTGTGAGAAGGATGTAGGCCTTGGCAACCAAGGGTCCGATCATATATGAATCGATGGTCCACCACCCTCACTATCGTAGCCCCTACTGAATTAGCCCTCAACCCCAAAGAATACTCTACACAGTTGAGTCACCCCCTAGCTGAACGATTCATAAAGTAATCCCCGAGGTAATACTTTCCTAGTTCCCTTTCAAAACCGCCAAAGAATCACAGTGTTGTAACAACCGCCAAGCCTGCTTGGCCACCAAGGCTTTGTTAAAGAGTTCAAGGTCGTGCCACCCGGCTACTTGGGCCCAATTGTAGAAAAGTTTCTACCATTTCTGCAAGAATCCCATCTTCTCTATGATTTTGATTAAGAAATCACTCAACTCGGTTATAAGCCTAGTTTTAGGGCAAAAACTCGCGGCCATTAGATTCCAACTCATAAAATGGAGACATTCAAAAGTAACAATGGCATTATCAGTAATCGGTCTCCCTTGTACAGAGGGACTCTAGTGCTCAGAGATGATTGAGGGTAGACCTCACTTGATCCAATTTGCTATAAAATCGATTTGTAAACAACGGTACAAAGATTGATCAGTCTCAAGTCAGAAACTGCTTCTGTGGTAGGTTTTTCGGAATGAGAACTAATAGTGCCGTTTATTGACTGCAGTGATCTGCCATGATTCAAAAACTTCCAAACGCTTGTGTGACTGTCGAATCCAACATATCCCAGTGTTGATAATACAAAACCGCATGAAACCCAGTCCGGCCTTGGGGCTTTAAAAGGTCCCAATTCTTTAATGGCTTCCTCCACTTCCGCCGGTCGATGTCCCTATCCATATCTACCTCCTCCTCAGGGGTGAGAATTGATGTCACCCCCGTTGAACCTGCTTCCAACTGCACTTCTGAGGGCTGGGTACTATTGAAAATTTCTCTAAAATAATCCTCTAGTAGTTGATCTAACACCACTTCACCGAGATCACCCACTCTCCATCCCCAGGAACGCCCACATCAGCAATAAACAACAAAGTAATTTAATTAAAAGAAAGGGTTTTCTCATCATTGTACATTTCTCCAGGAATGTTAGAATTCACCAAAAATGAGACACTTGAGCTGCTATTATTTTCAATCCAACTCCTTCCAGGTGTTTTTGTGACCCCTTTCTTCTGCATCCTGTTCCAAATTTTTTGAGCATCATTCCACCGTCCAACTGCTCTGTAAACATTAGCTAGAAGTACGTAGCTCAAATGATAATCAGGTCTCAATTCCATCATTTTCTTAGCAATGCGTTCTGCAACAGTAGTATTTGTACTTGTTGTACAAGCACCGAGCAGAGCAGCCCAAAGAGATGAGTCGTTACTAAATTGCGAATTTTTAATTAAATCTTCAGCTTCTTCTATCTCGCCAGCCCGGCCAAGGAGATCAACCATGCAACTATGATGCTCAATTCCAGCTTCAATCCCATAATCCATACTCATTGAGATGAAGTACTTGCGACCTTCATCAACCAAACCATTATGGCTACAAGCAAAAAGCACGCCTATGAAGCTTATATAATTGGGCCTGACACCTTCTTGAATCATTTCGTTGAATATCCTCACCGCTTCTTCACCCCTACCGTTTTGAGCAAATCCCGAAATCATCGAGTTCCAAGTAATAGAATTTCTAATAGGCATCTTCTTAAAAATCCTATATGCAAAGTCCACGGAGCCACATTTCGCATACAAATAAACTAAGGCTGATTCAACTACAACATCGTTCCAACCACCTCTCTTCAGATACTGGCAATGTACCTCCTTTCCAAGCTTCACAACTGACAAACCAGCACAGGCACGTAGAACTGTACCAAAACTATAAAGATCAACCTCCATCATTCTGAAAAGCCGAACAACGGTTTCAAATGCGCCCTTTTGACAATATCCCCCGAGCAATGCACACCATGAAACTGAATTCTTCTTCTCCATTTGATCAAACACACTCCGGGACTCATCCACTAGCCCACATTTAGCATACATATCCACTAAACTACTCTCAACGAAAATATTGTCCTTACAGAACCCAATTGTAATGGCCTTAGCATGAAGTTCTTTACCTTGCTTTAACCTACCTAAATTCCCCAAAGCAGTCAAAACACTACCAAATGTATACCCATCCGGTGAAAACCCATTATGCCTGTGCATAAAATAAAACAATTGCAAAGCCTCAGCATATAAATCACTCCTCGTCAGCGCAGAAATCACTGAAGTCCAACAAATAAAGTCTGGTTCGAGCATTTCATCGAACAACTTAAGTGAATCACCGGGCTCGTTATTCCTCCCATACATATCAATCAAGGCGCTGATAATCACATTGTTAAATCCAAAACCAAATTTAATTACAACAGCATGTAAACATCTCCCCATGTGCAACTCCCTGAGCTCCGCAGACGCCCTGATCACGGCAGATAAAGTGAACGCATTAGGCTCAATGCCAAAATCAAGCATATCCAAATACAGCACAATCGAATCTCTGGGTTTTCCCACGCGAATGTATCCCGAGATAATCGAGGTCCAAGACACAACATCCTTATAATACAAACCATCAAAAAAATTTCTGGCGTCGGAAAAGTTGGGGCACAGTTTGAAGTAAAGAGAAAGAAGGCTATTACCCACAAAACGGTCGGTTTCTAGGCCAGATTTGAGCATATAGCAGTGAAGCTGGAGGCCGATGGTAAATGAATGCGCTTTGGTGCATGCTTGAATAATTGTGGCGTATAGGATTGGCTTTGAGGTGATTTTGTTTTGGGAGTTTATGGAATTGAGGATTCCAATGGCATCATAAACGAAGCCACATCTACACAACTGAATAATTTGCGATGGTATGGAAAGTAGGTGCCGACAGTGAGCAAGAGAGGTGTAATGGCGTTTCAAGAAAAGCTTCATGAATACTGAGAGCGTGAAATGTCGTATTCAATTTTAGCGGTTCTTTATAGAATGCGAAAATTTCATTTTCGGTCGCTGAACTTTCAACATATCTTAAATGGATGGATCAACTTTAATTTAATTCAAATTTTACCACCTGCCATCTCCTGAATTGATGAAAATGATTTAATTGATAATTATAACTGATGACCCCAGATCTTGTCAATCTCGAAATCGATCCATGAACTTCGAACACTTCTCATGAACCCCGATCTTCATACCCCCTAAAACTACCAAAACAAGGTCGGGCCAATCCTTCTATACGTTCTATGAGAACACTAATTCTACGTAGACCACAATCCTTACCTTATTTGACTCTTTCAACTCAAACAAAGGTTGAACATTCGGAATGAAATACTAACTCCTTAACCTACGAGGATAAGGGTCACATATGGATAAGTCCTTCTAGAACTCTATCATCAACACAATACATAACATGGACTCATTCTTGAGGTGCGTTTTTCATTATCTCTAGTTTATAGCCTCATGCACTAAGTTTCCTATGTGACTTAAGTATTGGAGGGGCGACGAGCACACACCTCGTTACCTTTATTTCAGGTATTCGAAGATCGTTCGTATTCATTCAAATTCGAAGTTCAATCATCAAGCTCGAGATTATTCAGGTACTATTTTTTAGTAGCATCAATAACCACAGTAGATCTTGAATTTAATCACGCAGTTACACGCCAATATAACATTTTAACCTTTTAGTCTATAATTTATATTATTTAATATTTTGCAAGCTCAAGTTATTAAATAAAATGTATGTTTTTTCTATTTTTACCGTTTTGAAATTCTTATTTGGGAAAATTGCAGCAACAGTCCCTAACCTATATTTTTTCACAAATTTTACCCTATCCTGCACTTTGTATCATTCATAGTCCCAAACCTTTTAAAAATATGCATTTGTTATGCAAATGAATGGTACATTTGACCGTTAGTTGACTAAAAAAAATCAAAATTTACTCAATTTTGACCAAAAGAAAAAGGGTAAAATGGTAACTTTCCAATTATCACATTAAATAAATAAATAACCAAATGCTAGCACCCACTCACCCTCTCCTCTTTCTCACCTCGACCTAGAAATCAACCATCAGCAGTGCCACCCAATGTCGACACCACCTCCAATGCCTTATCTCACTTTCATCCATCAATCGTTAAAACCTTAGCTGAGTAATAATTAGTAGATTCAGTACTCAATTGAATAGTTTATATGTAACAATGGCAAAATACTTGGCCTCCATATTTGGAACAGAAAAAGAGCCAGTTAATTGCCCGTTTTATTTTCAAGATCGACAAGTGCTGCCACTGTGACTAATGCTCCTGCCTCCACAACTGCCTATAATCTCGTCGACGCTCGCCTTCGCCAATATGTACCTGTTGACAAGCTAAAAGTGCAGCCCAATTCGAATAGCCCAAAGAATGAAGCCCAACTGGGCAATTCAGGATAAAGGCCCAAATAGGGTTATTAATGAATGCAGTGGAAGCCCACGAACGCTGTAATACCATCGCCCAAACTTACAAGACGCCCAAGATCTGAGCGAATGAAGTGCCTTGCAATCGCCCAGAGTTAAAACCCCGTTCTCGCCCAAACCTTCGAATCGCCCAGGATCTTAACAAACATAAGATATTATGGTTATCCAAAAGTACAGTTATCGAAGCAGTTATTGGGTAATCTTATCACGTTCCACGATTCAAGAAGTTCAGTTGAAGACGGTTGAACGACAAAGAGTAGTGGTAGCATTTAGAGACGACAGTTCCACGATAAGTTGGCCACCATGAAGAAAGTGGGCAGTTATAAAGCAATCAAGCAGTTTTCAAGCGGTTGATCACAAAGAGAGCATCAAGGAAATATAAAAGGAAGAAAAGACATAGAGCAAAAAGAACCCCGAATCAAACACTCTCAAACAGAGAATATGTAATTTCATTTCCTTAGTTTAGACTTAAAACATTTCTTTTTAGTACTCGTGTGCTTGCGCCCCTTGGAGGCATTTTGTTTAAAGTTCCAATTGTAAAGTCATCGCCAATAAAACACCCCTTTTTGGGACTTTGTCTCAAAAGGTTTGTTCCTTACACAATCGTCTGATGCCCTTTTAATTGTTAGCGACTACCCGCGCGAAACAATTTGGCACGCTCAGTGGGACCTTGGTGTTTGGTGTTAAAGATACAAAAGGTGAAACAATATGCCTCAAAAATCCGATAAGGAAGCAGCAAGTCAGGGAGGAGTCCAGTCTGTGATCGAGCGATATGAGGAACAGCATAGCTCTCCACGAGCAGATGGACAAAATCAGAGCAATCATAGTTGTTACGAACCAATGACAGAATTGAGTCCTCGAACCATGCGTGCATTACTCGGAGAACTCACACAAGATGTCGTTGAACAGGTAAATCTACGAAGTATTCATAATATAGAAAGATTTACCCAGAATGAGAATGCACATTATAACAACATGACCAAACAACTGAATACTTTGAACGAAATAATGAATAAGTTAGTAGGCCAAATTTATCAGCCAGTTGCGCCTCTTGCAAACCACTTTCAAACTAGGACAATTGTGGGGCATAATCCCCCAGTCCTAAGTTTAAATCAAGGGGTGGAACCACCTTTTGATCCCTCTATTTCAAATCAGGGGGGTGGTGTAATACCGAATCAGACTAGTGGCATTGGTACATTTAACTTGGGAGGTAACCTAAATGTAAGAGATAATGTCCTAAATAATGGGCAGAATACCCCACGTGTTAATGATGGAATAAATGTTCAGGCTAATGGTAACAATGGCCCAAATCATGGTAACTTTGTTGCCAATCAAGAACCAAATATCAGGCCTCAATCAAATCAACCGGTCAACCAACCTGTAGGAATTTCATATGACCCCAACATCATGTTGAAGAATCAGATTATGGAAATCGTACAGGACCAGATGGCTTTTGGAGTACGTCCTGTCATTAGGTCGACTTACACAAAGTCATATCCCGATTGAGTAGACCAAGCATATCCATGGCCGAGAGGGTATAAAGTGCCAGAATTCTCACTGTTTACCGGTTTAGGAGAGGTGTCTACTCTAGAACACATAGGGTGATTCACACTGAAAAGTGGTGACGTAACTGATTGCCATAAAATGAGGCTGTTCCCTAGTTCATTAACAGGAGTAGCCTTCTCCCGGTTCATCAATTTGCCAGCAAACTCTATTCAAACATGGCAACAATTGGAGCAATTGTTCCACGCTCAGTTTTATAAGACCGAGTCTGATGTTACTTTGGCCGATTTGGCGAATCTACGTCAAATGCCAAACGAATGGGCAGGAGGTTTCCTTCAAAGGTTCAAGACAACAAGAAGTAAATGTTTTGTACCTTTGCCCGAAAAGGAGTTTGTCAAAACCGCTCAAGGTTGTCTAAACTTTGCTTTGAAGAAGAAGTTCCAAGACAAGAAATTTCCTGATCTTTTCCAATTGAGCGCGAACGTGATTAGGTATGAATGATTAATAAGAGAAGAAGAACAAATGAAAAGTTCTAGCAAGGGGACTTATTATAGAGACCCAAATTTTGATGTTCATACCATTAATGACGAGTATTACGATCAAACCGAAATGTGTTTAGCCAAATTAGTTAAAGAAGACACATATACTTGTCCTATAATGGCTAAGCCTGGACGGTCGGGCAAGGATGAGCATATAAAAGATAAAAACATAAAGGCTAGAACGTTCTCGTTCGATATAACCAAAGCTGACCTTATATTTGATAAATTATATAAAGATAAGCAGATAAAGTTGAGCGATAAGCATAAATTGCCAAGCCCTGAACAAGTTAAGGGTAAAAAATATTGTAAGTGGTATAATGCATGGTCACATTTGACTAACAACTGTTTGATTTTTCGCCATGTGTTAGAGGATGCCATTGAATCAGGACGAATTACGTTCGAGGATAAGAGGAAGATGGCAGTGGATGAAAATCCTTTTCCACAGCCACTTGGAGTGAACATGGTGACGTCTGGTTTCAAATACAAGTTGCCAAAATTCAAGTTGGTTATAGATGATGGAGAAGAAGAAGCTGGAACACATCCCAGCGTCTTTGAACGTATCAAAGGGAAGGAGCCCAAAAAGGACAAAGACGTCTTATTTGCAAGATGCAAAAAGAAGTGAGTGCAAATGCAGAGAAACCAGAGATATGACAGTATCACCACCGCCCTAGTTTTTTCCCAAACGCTCAGCCTAGCAGAGGGCGGGGTGCATCGTTCTATAAGAGACCGCCTTTTGAGAGGCAGTTCAGGCCAGTAAATAATGGAAGAACATTCAGACCGCAACCTCACCAACCAAATGTATGGCATTCGTTCCAGTAGAAGGCTGAAAGGGCGATACCTTTCAACGAGATGACTAGAACCCAACAAAAGCGTTTTCAACGGAACTACGGGCGAATGATGAGGCAACAACAGGGAATGTTGCATCCTAAAGCACCTAGACTACTCGAGGCAGTCAATCAAAATGTTCTCAAAGACAGTGAAGAGACTTGTACAGGTGAACCTATGGAAGAATTACTGGAGACTTCTTCTGGAAGGTCGAAGTTTGAGCGAGACAGAAGGGATGGAGAAGATCCAGATCAGTCCCTTACTATTCAGTTTGGTACGTTGCCCCCTGTCGTGGCTAATAACTATTTACTAGCCAACGAGTTCAAGAATAGAGGGAAGGAAGAAGAAGAAAAGGAGGATAACGAAAAGGAAGCATGCATGCTGGAATATGAAGAATGCCAAACTTCTAGAAAGGTCTACAATGGTGAAGAAGATGATGGTATGACAGACATCGAAGAAGAAATCGATCTGGAGGCAGAAAGAAGAAAAAGAGGAGTATCGTACAATACTCTGTTGAAGCAATTACATCGAGAGGGAGTTCGTGAAATAGACTTATTGGGAGAACCATCTGGGCATTCTTTCGATTTTTGCGTGCTGTACGGGATGCCCAAAAGGAAGAAGAGAGTGCCTTGCTCTAAAAAGTATGGATCACCTCCAAGAATAATGCCTCCTCCCACAAGTTGG